TGTTCTGCTTATTTATGTTTTAATGATTTGTAATGAAAACAATTTCATTAATTAATTTTTTAATTAAATATTTATTATTTTTTTTTTTTTGTGTATTCATTGAATATACTTACTAAATAGTTTTGAATTATTATTTACTTGTAATTATGTATGTACATAGTGATTTCTGGGCGTCATCCTACTTAATGCATTTAATTCTTCCATTACGCTGCGAAGTGTGCACATTAAAATCTTTCATTTAATAGATGATTATTGTTATTTAAGAATGAAAGCATAAAGTACAATATATTTTTATATTGCACTTTAGCTTTCAAAAACATCATAATTTTAGTATCATCCAATTAAATTAGAATACTCATGGACGCATCATTATTATTGATGCTGCCATCAAACATCAAAATATGCCTTAGTAACCTCTGAAAACTGGAAAACATTATTGAGTTCACAGATATAGTACGCATGTAGCTTAGAAGTTACTACATCCATTAATGTGAATCAATTTACGAACCCATTAAGAATTTTCAACGATAATTTGAAGGCCAAATATTCGTTATCACCTAATTCTACTCGTCTGATGTTAGTTTGTTCGCGTCTGACGTAGTGTGTATGTGTATGTGATGATTGTGATGTATCAGATCAGTTACTTACGTAAAGGATATAATTTTTATTGTTACTATGTATAAAATGACAATTTTAGTTCTTGTAAATTAATGCAATGTGTTTGATAAAACTATTTAAAATTTGTAAGTACCCTCTACTTTAACACCGCATTTTATTAACCTAAATTATATCATAATTTTTACATCACTATTCTCAAATATATAAAATAAAAACAAATTTTATAACTAAACTAACTTTGCTTTAGAATTTTAAAAAAAATACGTGAAATTGTTCATTGTTAATCAAAATACAATACAATAATAATAGTATTATACTCAAGTATTAACAAGATAATATTTAACTAAGATTTGAAATATGTAACTACATAAGATATATCAAACATGTGACCATAAGTAATTTTTTCGTGGCCCGTAACTACCAATATTAATGAATAAAATACAAAAATAATAATAAAACATATTAAAAATATTAACTTCGTCTCACAACTATTTTAAAGAGTGATATTTTTGGTATACATCGTAATATTGTCTCATCTTCTGATTTACTGTAATCAAATAAGCATTATTGATGGCCATATACATATATAAATTAGATTAATAAATTATAAATTAATAATGTAGATACGCGACACGCGTGCATATTTCATTGTCACGTGTAATCTAGTCGCTCGATAAAATCACCGCGTTGTGTTCGTTATCATGTGTAGCGTGTGTGCTTTGTTTAAAATATTGTTCCATAAATTTAATAGTTGAAAATGTCTATATCAAAATCAAGTATATTAGCTATTACTAGTACATACGTATAGTATTAACATTAGAATTTGTTGCATGATGAATGTAAAAAATATTTTTGGAAGTGGCCCGCCTTAAATTTGGCACACTTAAAATAAATTAAAATAGTTTCCGTTAGTCAAAAAGTATCATAATCATCGGTTGATTATTTTATAAATATCATCCATATATATATATATAAATAATTATGCATACATATGTATATAATATATGAGTATAATGAGTATACATATATAAAACTATACTGTCTATACTATATAGTCATTACTCATTGCTCGTTCGTAATTATTATGAATGTTATGATATATTATGGAACCTGGATGGTTATGTACTTTGTAAGGAGATACTAACTAACTAGTGTTTTTTTCTAACTACTTTTTGTATGATTTTATTTTCTGAAAATTTATCGGATTGGTAGGTAATACAATGAAACTCTATTAATGGACAACTCTCAATAGTAAACCCTTCCTAATAGTGGACACCGTCAAAAATTTGTGCACATAATAGGAGTTATAACCTATTAATAGTGGACACTCCTAATAGTAGACGTGGACACTAAAAACTAGTATCAACATTAAAAATTACCTCACATATATGGACACAATAAATGTACATATCGAAAACGTGTAAGAAATAAACATACTGTATTTATCTATTGTAAAGCGGTTTTATGACGGCACGAACACTATATTTCTACAACGAAAACGGCCGAGTGCCTCGCTCCGACGTATCGCTCTACAGTCTACTCGAACGGATTAACGTTAAACGATTCGTCGGCCGAGCGACGACGGGCCCGACAACCGAGTGCCCAACTCAAACGTCCCGCTGGCCTTAATTCTCGATCGCGTCGTCGGTGTTCGTCTGGACGACGTGCGGTCGTATGGATGTGCATTCTCGGATCTGGACGGAACTCGAAGACCGTCACGTACACCGGAAGACACGACAAAACAATAATATTACGATTACAACGTGAAGGTGTGCGATTGCTGTTTGGATCCGAACACACAGCCGTACGCTGTCCAGATCAGCACCAACGACACGAGGATCACGGCCAGCGGTACGTTCGAGTTGGGCACTCGGTTGTCGGGCCCGTCGTCGCACGATCGGCGGACCTCGTCGTCGTCGTCGGTCGCTGGCCGCCCGATCGTGGTCGACGCCACCGCCTTGCGTTTTGGTCGGCCGCCCGCAGCCACGCCGTTGCCGACCGCCTTGGCCGCGGCCCGGACGACGCGACGCGCCGCCAGCACGGGATACCACCGGTGCCGGTCGGCCAAGAGCGGAACCACCGCGTCGTCAGCCAACGGTTCATGTCCGCTCGGAACCGCTGCGGCCGACGACGTGCAAGCCGGCCCAGCCGGTAAATACCGACGAGCAGCGGGCGGCGGTCGTCGGCCGCCGTCACGGCTTGTCCACGGCGAACAGCCGCTTGCCGACGGCGAACGGAAACGCCAACGTTCCCGGATTCGAATTGTCATCGAACGCCGGTATCGGTACGGCGGCAGATTGTCCGTCGAACGGTACGCCGTACAGCAGTAGCGCCGTACACGGGTTTTCCGTTTCCATATCGATATCGTCGTCGTCGTCGTCATCGTCGTACTTGTTTCTGACGGCGGTGGCGGTATTCGCGGTCGGCCGTCCGACGTCTACTGGTGGCATCCAACCGCATCCGTTCGTATCCAAAATGAACCTGTACCAAAATACGTGCGTTCGTTGTACAGCGACTTGTAAAGGCTGGACAACGAATAGATATAATGATTTGAGACGTTCTTAAAAATACGTCCGTCGCAGATTACACTTCAATACCGGATTTAACGACCCCGAACGAGGATGTGAGGGTAAAATAGTTTACCTCTATTTTAGTTACTTATCAGTTATCACTCACTTGATCTTCCGTAATAACTCGTGCAGCTCGTTGGTCACCTTAAAGGTCTCGTGGCCTTTGTAATATGCTTCTTTCGCGTGCGGTATCATCACTCCTTGCATGTACCCACCGATTGCATCGGCCACCGAGACCATGGCTATCCTTCGGGTCTGGTCGCTGACGATCGTCTCGGATGTTTTGATTATCAACTTTACGTAGTCGAGGAATGTTTTTCCGTTGACTACGTTTTTGGGGATCAAATGATCCATTAACATCCGACTGCGCAACATCAATACATCTTCTTTAGTCCACGTCTTGTACATCATATCGTCAGTGTTATATAATGCAGTACCGACGTTAAACGTAGCAATTGCAGTAATAGGAAGCAGAAAAAAAAACAACTTGAATCATATTCAAAACTAATATCGTAGTTAATAATAATACCTATCATTTTTTTTAACGAATATTATTTTAGACTTTTTTGTAGAATAATAAAATATATTTATACATTTTAATTGTTGTTAGGGAAATATATGTTTGATTTCAGTTTTATAAGTCAGCAGTGTTTTCTACACATATATAATGTCTGTTGCAGTACAATTAATTAGGCACCTACCTTGAAAAAAATCAGATTTTTTAAATAAATTAAATAGCGGATATAAGTATTTATTTCTACACCTTTTAATTGTAACAAATTATTAAACAGAAAAAAATAATATACTCGATGACTATGGACGAGCGTTATTACTTAAGTAGGTACTTTTTTATTATCTAGGACCTAGATATATAGTTATTACTTATTAAAATGATTTCCGAATGGCGTTCGATTTATGTGAACTGCCGTGAATGAAGTGTTTACATTATTACCTACAGATTAACTGACCACAATAAACGTATTGTTAGTTGTTAGATACATACATTCTACATTCTGTACAATATAATTATCACTTTGAAAATGTTAAAAAATTATACACCTATGTTTATCGGTCCTATCGTTTAATATGAGCTAATAGCTAATATATATTTTAGTGTGGAATAATAATTTATTAACATTTTATGTATTCCTAATACTCCTTTCAATCTTCATTAGGTACCTACTCATTGTGTTTCACTATTATGGATTATTTTACATTATATTACATTCCTTTTATCCATAAAAATTAATTATTTTATCATACACCCAGTTTTTCAAGTCTATTTAGTCGCATTATAATATGAACCAATAGCGCATTCAGCGGAAAGGTAAACAATGAATACCTTTTTCATATAAGTAAATAATATATATATAAATATATTTACTGTTATTAAAATATCAAATAAAATTGATAAAATAAAAAATGTATTATATTATAATAATATGTGTATACATGTATAAATAACAAAAAGTTCCTATTTTTTATTTTTTAGCAATATACTATATTAAATGAAAATTGTATATCTCAATGTTTAAATTTTATTGCAATAACTTATAGATACTTTATCAAATCAAAAGCTTATAATTTTTCTTTATATCAATCAAATACTTAACTTTTAATTTTTAATGATTTTATAGCCTACCTACTGCATTGTTTAAAATTTAATGGGTATCTAATTTAAAAAGGGCAATTTTTATGTACACACACACACACATATATATATTTTAATAATAAAACATTATTTAGTTATTTATAACAAATAAAAAAAAAAAAAATTTAACATAGTTTTAAATCTTTTTAAATGATTAAGTCTTAACATAATAAATTAAATATTTGAGATTACAAAACATTAATAATTTAAAAGTTACTATTTATACTACAAACATTATCACAGTAGTAGTGTTGTCAAAGCAACAAGTACTTAATTAGTCTTGGCTAAATCAGAATTTTGTAATGGACAGACATCAAGAATGCAAAACAATTGGCGACAGAGTGGACAAGTACATTTTGATGATAACCATATGGTTGTGTCATTTTGAGGTTGCCTTGATTCATACCTAAAATTAACATAAATTTTATTTTTTATAATACAACATTATTGTATTTATCTTACCATTTAGCCATGCAATCAACACACCACATAGGTCTACATTGACACGAAGAACAATTTACATTGTCATTGCTATCTTCACAACATTTGGTTAACTTAACATCTGGAGGATTCACTAAGCAACCAGCGCATACTTCATCTGCTAACTAGAAATAATATTCTTGTATCAAAATTTCTTATTCTATTTTAATATTACTTTATAATTTATATGATTAAACAAACTAGTATGATAACAACCTTTCTTTTAGTTAAAATTAATTATGGGGAATACGTTATTTTCTTTTAATATTACTTTAAATTTAAATTACTTAAAACAAAAATAGATTTATAAATAAAATCTATAAACATATCTTTAAAATGGTCCAGTTATTTAAAAAATGTTTAACTAATTAAAGTTAAATTGTTTGTAACAATTATACCTAAAAGTTAATATGTATAATGTAATTATTGAAATATTTTAAAATTAAAAATCGAAAAAAAAATTAAGTGTTAACCTGGTAAAATAATCTACATTAATTTTTGTATTTAAAATATTATTATGTGTTGTAACTTTTAGAAAAAACTAGGTTATCACAATCATATATTTTAAAATTTAAGATAATACTTAATGCAATACACAATTTGGTTATTCAAAATTTAAATGTCAAGAACAAATATTTAAAAAATATTGTATAGGTCAGTGATATGAAAAAATAACATTAATTATTATTATTTTAAACATACTTCTGCTGAGCTGTAACCATTATATACTGGATTTTGGGAAACTTGATCACGAAATACTTCAATAAAACGTTCAGTTCTTGAGCGCTGTAACTTGACATTATCTGCAATTTGTATAGGATGTCCAATATGTTCTTCAAGTGTTTTAAAATCTTCAGACCTTATCCTGTGTAAAAAATGATCCAAAGTGTGTTTATGAAATTTAATGAAAAATATTAAAACTAATTAATCATATGAATTACCTAACAAAAAACCATTTAATTCGAGATCGAATTGGTATCACTTGAATGTTGATAAATTGTATACTACCCGGAGTGCCATCAGGTGTAGAATTATGGTTATCCGAACTGTAAACTAAGAAAGAACTTTCTGATTTCTTGGAAACATAAAGCATATAAGGTTTTATTGATATTATCCAATTTTGAGTAACGACTGTTCTATTTATTGTACCATAGGCTAACGTCAGTTTTTGAAGACTAATAAAAACATAAATCAAAAAAGATATATTATTAAGAAAAGAATATTAAATACATTATAGGTTGGTAACTATGAGATATTTAACATCCATAATATATTTATGTATATTATGTATATATAAAATTATATGGTACAGAATATAGTTTAGCATACCATTGATATTCAGTTGAAATTTCTTGTGCTATAATTGTCCAGTCATCAGGATTGTAACGACTCAAAATAATGGATAATGGATGGTTGGCCCAATTATTTGATTTCCATTTGGATATTACTGAAAAGCTAAAAGTGATAGGCAGCAATGCCAAAAAAATCAACTCGTAAAAGTTTACACTCACAAATGCTTTTTCATTGTCATTGACTAGAAGTGTGCCTAGTAAATATACTGAAAAAAGTTCACATTTAAAATAAATATAATCAAGATTTTGTTTTTTATGATATATTGAGTACAATATAACCTAAGTATTATGCACCAACCTAACGGCAGACTTGAGTGTACAATGATGCTATATGATGTTCTTTTGATGTGATGTAAAATGAAATTGTTGTATTCTTTGTCAATTACTGTATCAAACAGGTTTTCGACTGTCAGACCGTTAGATACAAATTCAGTAGTTCTGAGCACAAAACAAGCAGAGACGATCATGTAGAACAGAGTGTAAACCAACAATGACGTGTATTCAAACATCTTGGCAAGAATAAGAATGATTTAAATTAACAGACTTATTTGCTGGATAACATACTACATGGTTACTAAATCGGTGGACACACTAGAATAACATTTGTTGTGATGCGGTCTTTCAAATAATAAAAGCTAGACGAATTAATTACGATTAACGTTAAAGGTTAGAACTATTAGAAGGTTAAATTGTAAATACTAAATTGTAAATATTAAAACTAAACAGTAAATAGTATTTACTAAATACTCCTGATGCTATATTTACCGTAGAAAAATGATACCACGTCAACTCAAATAAATACGAGATAACCAGATAACGTTGTGATTGTGATAAAAGTGTATTCATTATTTAACGTCAAAAGCTAAAAAAAAAAAAATCCATACTAATTAATTAGGTAAAACCTATGAAAAACATCGATAAAGTGTAAACGTTACATCAGACCTTCTACTACTAATGCTAATTAAAAATAATAGAATGCACAATAGTATATTGATAATGTTGTTTTAATAATACTAGGTATATTACCTACATAAAACATAGGTATTAATATAGAGTTGTGTAAGGATGCAAAATCATTTTTAACGAATATCTTAATACTAAGATGATACTCGATACATTTTACATTAAATTACACCGTAGCTCGTAATTAATTGCGGTGTAGTTATCAGTTATGTGTTTCGTTATTTAAGATTAAGACATCAGCTTTTCAAATTAAATAAAGTATAATTGTTAAAAACATTAGGAATCAGGATCTCAGTAAGCCTAGTGTTAATATTTTACGAATATTTATTAAAAAATAAATCATAAAAAAATGTTATATAAAAAATGTTTTCACGGTTGTGTAATTGTGTGTATATTATTATAATTTTAAAATTGTGTACTATATATTATATTATGTTTTAATATATAAAATATTTTTTAAGTTTTTTTTAGATAAGCGCTAATACAGTAATACTATATCTATAGCTGCCGTGGGTCGTGGGAAATTATAGTTTTAAAACGATCCATAGCAGCGGCTGATGACCGAGATTTTAAATGTCAAAAGGAAAATTTTCATTTTCTAATCTGGCTACACTGTAATTGTATTAATGCCGCTGCCGTCGATCAGCGCGTGCTGTCGTTCATTACGCTGTCCTGAACCTGATCGTCCTAAACTGAAACGTAAATACGCCAAAATTTGCAATTTCCGATTACGGTCATTTCTGTGTTTTATTCCGAACAAATTTGAGTGTTACCGCCGCATTCACGTTTGTCATGTTATAAACGTCTCGTTTGGAGTCCGATCTCCGCCGTCGCGGGTTTTATTTCTTGTTACGCAGTGTTTTGCTGAGGATTGAGGAGTCGTCACACCGAGATGGAGGCGGTCAAAGCGTTCACATTTGAGGTAAGAGTTGATTGCGCACTACACCTGTAAATATTTTGTTTTAATATTCATAGCTGCTTGTGAAATGTTAATGATAGTACCTAATTTCTGTTCTTTTTGAATGAGCGCTTGATCCTTATTTTACGCCAACCTGAAATTTGATATTTTTATCGTTAACTTTAAGCTTTGGGACCGTTTACTGACGGCAACGGTTGTAAATCTTTGAAGTACTATTAATAATATTTTTACCATTATAATTATTACGATAAGTACAAATTTATTGGTGTCTTGAATAGAGAAGGTGGAATATGTATAGATTTATAATTTTAGTAGTATCACAGTTTATTGCAGCATATATATTTTGAGGTTTGTCATGTTTTCAGCTTTATTCCATCATGGAAATGAAGCCGCCAATATCAAAAGCAAAAATGACTGCAATTACTCGAAATGCAATTAAAGCCATCAAATTGTATAAACACGTTGTTCAATGTGTAGAAAAATTTATACAGAAGGTAAGAAGAAATTATAAACTCAATAAAGAAACTGTATTTAAGTATCATCTATCCTATTTCTTATTTAGTGCAAACCTGAGTATAAGATACCAGGTTTATATGTAATTGATTCAATTGTGAGGCAATCACGACATCAGTTTGGAAATGACAAAGATGTATTCGCTCCTAGATTTGCGCGTAATCTTAAATCGACTTTTACACACTTATTTGCTTGTCCAGAAGAAGATAAAGTATGTTAATAAAATATTTATGTTAAATGTACAATTTAGATACAATATAATCAAACTAATTTACTGTGTATGTTTATAGAGTAAAGTTATTCGAGTATTAAATTTATGGCAAAAGAATGCTGTTTTTACCACAGATATTATTCAACCTATTTTTGATTTGGCTGCCAATCCTGATTATGGGGAACATTCTCAAATAAATTCTTTATCATCAATGGACACTAGTCCAAAAATAAGTAATTATATTAATAAATGTTGTCAACAATATTAGTTTATAGTACATCTAATTAATATTATGATATGGTTAATTTTATGAAATGTTATACGTATTATTTTAAGTTACATTGAACTAAACTTTAGAATTGTTTATTTATTCAGACAATAATAAAGTATTTCCTCTTTTTTATATAGTATTAACTTTTGTATAACAATGTATTTTATTGTTTTATAGGTGTTAAAACAGATCTTTTTAAAAGTCAAGATAATACTCCAGTTAAAGATGATATGTCTAAAAATTTTGACACTTTACAAGTAAGTAGTTTGGTTTAATAAGAATAATTATTACTAGTTTTTTAGTCTATTATTATTAATTTGTTTTTAAAATTGCAGTCACAGAGTTTAGATACTGAAAATAAACCAATAGATCCAGCTATACTTGAACACATACAAGCTATTCAATCATTATTGAAGAAACAACCAGGTCACATGCAACAGTCATCTACATCTCCTCAAGTAAAAAAATCTGATGCAGTAAGATATAAGTTAAAATAATTGTTAGTAAATAAAAAATAAAGTTTGGTTCTTTTCTTGATGCATATTGTAGGTAAAATTGTTTGATAAAAAAATCCTTGATTATGATTATGGTGATGAAGAAGATGAAATGCTTAATCAATCTCCAGTATTCCATCAACAGCAACATCAAAATACTACCATTGATGGAATTGACAGGTGTGTTCTTCAAATATTTTCTTATGATTAATTCTATATGTTCAGAAAATGATGTTATCTAACTTTAAAGAATATCAATTATGACTACTAAATCTTTAAAGTTATACTTAAAAATAATATTCAAAGCTTAATAGTTGTTAGTTGTATAGGTATTACAAAAAAAATTTAAATATTTTGTTTTATACTTTCAAATATATTGGTTATCGTAAAAACAAATAACTTATATTAGTTTAGAACATATCATTACTAAATCAACTACAGAATGTATACACAATTTTACAACTTTTTCAAAAATATCATTGTTTAAAGAAAAATAAATATAGGAACTATGTTACTTCAAAAGTAGAAATCTACCTCTTCAAGAAAAGTGGTATAAGCTTCAAAGGTTTGTATTATTACATTTTATTTTCTTAGATCAGCAATGCTTTATTTATTTTAAAGGTACAAATCTTATGTGTTTAAGATATATCAATTAAAAACAAATATTACCATTTTTTGTGGTGAATGGATGCTGCAAAATAGGTTTTATTGAATTGAATACTATATTATGTATTCTGAATTGTATGTATGTTGTATTTGCTGCTTTTAATTTATTACAAATTATGTGTATATTAAGTATTAACCATTAAAACATTAAGAAATCTGATTTAATATAAATAATAAGCATCAGTTTTAATTTTTAAATTAATTAATTATATTATGTTATTATATAACAATAAATTATTGTTATTTATATCTCAACAATAATTCTTCAGATTTCAATTTACATTTTTTATTTGTATTAATGGACAACTGTGTTATAATCAAGAATTTGTCCAAATAGCTATTTTTTATATATTAAAAGTATCATAATGTCATCAATGTACAGAACATTTCAATAGGAACTTTATATTTATTTTATTTATTAATTGTTATGCGCATACTTCGTGTTTGGATTGCATGAATTTTTGAAATTAATTGGTAGAAAATTGTCATAAATGGTATGTTTATACACCAAGAAACTTGATGAAAAATATTGGTGTATTCATTTAAAAATTATTATTAATTGATCAATATATAATTCTCTAAGATTTTTAGTAAAATAGTTTTTTTTATCCTGTTAATATATACGTGTTTATATGTATTTATTTATTTAATAGTATAGTTGTTTTCAGGAAATTACTATTTGTAAATAATTTTTTAAGTCAACTTATTGCTGAATATTTTTTCTTATGATGATCAAGTAGTATGAAAATTTCAAACTTGATTAAAAATTAAATATTTATCAAACCATGCAGTTTTAATTAGGAAGTTGGTAGTCATTTTTATTCATTGACATTTTCGATTTTGAACAAGATTCAAGTTTTTAGAGATATTTTCTATTATTTTGTTTTTTAAATTCAGCCTATTGAATAACCCAGAAGTTCTGCGCACATTGCGCAATGTCGAAGGGTTAATGTCTACACAGTCTAAACAATTAGCAGAGTTGGACAAGATAAAAGAAATGAGAAAAGAAGCGGAGTTCGACAAACATCTTGCTCAGACTGTTCAGGTAAGATAACCAAAAATTGTACATGTGTAGCTTTAGCATAGTATGTTAAGCTATTCTTTAAAAATTTTAAAGAAATAAATCGTCAGTCCAAACACGAGTCCCTGTGCCTACTTTTGTTTAGTTGTTCCTCCAAATAAAAATTTCAGCGGTAACGAGCCATCGAAAGGTAGGTTTATATAATGAACGAGTGATCCAGTTTCCGAGCAATCAATTCCAGCTCAGTAAGTACTTAGATTTAAGTTCAGCTCATATTAGTAAATAATTTTATTAATTTATTTATTTATTTATTCCATAACTTAAACATTTTTAATATTATATATTTTAACTTAAATTTTTATTTCAGAATTTACCATTTGCTTCTGAATGTGAATTAAAACCAGCTCCTGTGGTTTCTCAAGCAGTTGGAATGATGTCAAACCCATATGTAAATCAATTATTTAGTACACAAATGTACCAACAACAACCTATGATGTCATTAGAATCTCACCATAAACCTTTACCTCAGATAATGTATATATTTTTATTCAAATTGAATATAATCTATAAACTTTTTGAAATAAATAATTTATTTGTATTTTGTATAGTTATGATGATTCGAACCAGTCTAAACCTGAAGTGATAGATCTAGATCATATTGCATCACCTCCTCAAAATAAACGAGATACAAGGCGAGATGGATATTCATCAGGTCCATCACGTAAACGATCACCTAGAAAGAATAGTCGTGAACGTCAACGAGAAAGAGAAAAGGAGCGTGAAAAAGATAGAGAGAGGAGAAAAAAATATTTACCTCCATTTAAAAAAAATCATTTAGCAGGTAATAAATATTTTGAAGAATTTGTTTATATTGTTGTTAAATTTGTATGATTTTTACAGTTGTAAGCACTACTCTTTGGGTGGGTCATTTATCAAAACTCATACACCAAGACGATTTATATGGATTATTTCAACCAATTGGTGATATAGTTTCATTAAATTTAATATCACCTAGAGGATGTGCTTTTTTGTGTATGAACCGAAGACAAGATGCTGCTCGTATAATGAGTAAATATCAAGGGGAAAGATTACAAGGAAAACCTATGACAGTATGTATACACAATATAATTTTTTTATATTCATTATTAACATTTTTAAATATAGGTTATTATAATATTATTATACATTTTAAACAAATTTATTTTTTAAATAAATACACTATTGATGGATAATTTATTTTTAAGCTATCATTTAAGTTTCTAATCACAAGTAGTATATTTCAGGAAGTTTTTTTTTATTAAACTCAAAAGTAATTTATTATTTGGATAGTGAAATAAATTAAAATTATGATTTAAATTTTTTGTTTATTGTATATAATCTATTTTTTCAACAACTCTGAAGTTGATATTTCTTTTATCTTTGATTAATATTGAAATTAATTAAAAATATTTACTTAAGTTATTGTCTGTCATGTATGTATGGATAAGAAAAAAATTCAATGATTATTTAACTGCTGGTATTATCAATACCACAAAACTAAAAGGTTCTAATTTTTATCTAGTTTCTTAAAAGTAGATCTACTGATAAAAGTTTCATTTTTGAGTTCCTATTATAATCAGTATATTTATAACTAGGGCCCTGATTTATATGCATTTGCATGTTTTTTCTGAACAATCCAAAAAGTAGTTAGGTAAGCTTCAAGTTTGATCTAAAGTCAATAGATCCGAAATATTAAGTTTTATTTTACATATTTTGTCATTTTTTGAAATGTACTGCATATTTCTGTATTTTACGATTATTAAATGCATTATATGTAATATTTTGTTTATTTTAATTAGAATGACGTATTTATAGTTATATTTATAGACTTATAATCAATGTAATTTAACAATGTCGTTTTCCTATTTTATTTAAAACCTTTGGGGACAAGTAGTAATCTGTTATTGTGTAGGTTTAGTAAATCATATATTAGTCGTGTTTAGTGTTGGGAATAGATAACTTAAATATTATCTAGATAAAGATAATAGATTATTGATAGGAATTTATCTAGATAAAGATAGTAGATAAAAATTACTTAAGTATCTAGATAATAGATAATATGTAAATGGTTTATCTAGATAAAAAAAATTGATAATCATATTTTTGTATTTTTTATATCATGTATAAACTATGCAGACATTCAGAGGCTTTACCAGAAACTTCCCAAGATAGGGGAAACCACTAGATTAAATACCAATTAGAGGGAATAGGGGTCATACTCACCCAACTCACGGAGATTAAATTTTGTAAGCAATAGGTATAACGTTTTGTATATAATAATATAAATATATCTGCTTACTAAATATGTCCATTAAAATCTATATCCAACCCGTGGAAAAATCCTAGATACTTTATTGCCATGTACTGTACTATTTAACCTTCTCTGTAAACTTAACAAACCAAAGGGAGTGACTTGTTCCTTCTATCACCCAAAATAAGCCACTAGAACTATTACAGATGTAAGATGTTTCAATCAAAAACCGCTTTATACTTAAATTGAATATCACTAGTCAAAACCCGAACTAAGGATAGGTAGGAACCTGATAACAACAATAAGAGCACTAGAGAATGACAAATGAAAATAATAATTATAATATAGCTGCAGTTATACAATCAACGTCTACGGGCCGTGTACCGTGTAGGAGACAGACCCGTATGTTTTCCTGGGTAATTTCAAGAAATATAGGAACATAATATTATATGCAGTAATAAATGCATAACTATAATTAAAAGGTATTTGCAGAAATACGTTATCTTTATTATAAGTAATTAGTATTTTATATATTATATATCATATAAAATGTTGAGTTTTCCATTATGTAAAAACGTATATAGGTACTTTAATATTAAATAAATACTTATACATAAAAAATATCTAGATAAATTAATATAGATAACTGAATTTTTTATCTAAGGTAAAAGATGACCAGTAAAATTGAATCTAGATAAGATAATAGATAACAATATTTTCATGTAGATAAATTCCAACACCGGTCGTATTTGTTGTGATCTGAGCACGCATAATTTTCATTCGATTATTTATTTATATTTAATGAAAATAAAAGACTGATCAAATTTTTGCATGTATTTATTTTATAGGGTATATTTCTATAAAATAAGAGCATTAATGCATATTTTATAGTGCATATTTCTGAAATATTTAGAGCATATAAATCCAGGTCTTATTTATAAGTATCAATTCAATTAAAATGTATGAACTGCATGTTGAGAAAAATTTTTACTCCACATTCTCAAAATATTAATTAAATATTATAAATGTTACCAATGTTAAAAATAAGCAGAAAATGATATGATAACTAATTTTTTAATTTGTTTTAGATTGCTTGGGCTCCGGGTCAAGCAATGAAAGATAAAGAGTGGAAAGATTATTGGGAAATTGATGATGGAGTATCATACATACCTTGGGAGAAGTTAAACAAAGAAATAGACTATGATGAGTTGGAAGTTGGAGGAATGTTAGATGAAGATACAATGCCTGAATGGCTTAAAAGTAAGCTATTTTAAGAATTTTTAATGATACTTTAATGATACCTTAATGATTGTATTTAATAAAATTATTATTTTCTTTAAATTACTTGATTTTAAATGCCTGAACAGTTGTAGAATTAATATTTAAAGTAGTGTAGATAACCATAATATCAATTCCACTATATAAAGATTAAATATTGTTATTTTTTCTCTAATTAATTTTCAGCTCATTTAAAGAACTTACGAACATCTAAGAAAAATGAGAAAAAAGAAGAAGAAAAAGTATCTGAAGGAAGTCAACAACCACTAAATACATCTAATTTTTTTGACCCACAAGGTGTTCAATCTCCTAGTGTTCAAAATATGCAAATGTCCCCTGCTCAAAACAGTCAACCCAATCAGATGAATTTCAATATGCCCCAGACAATGAACATGCCTAATCCATTTGGAATAAATCCTAGTATGTATAATTTGTAAACATCTTTTTAAACCTTTTAGTTAAACTATCAGGTGCGTTAAATAATAACTTTACTTGATTGTACTGCTTTAAATTTTACTTCATTGTTAATACAATAAATAATAATCATAAAAATATTATTTTTTTTTATTGAAAATTATCATATTACACATTAGAAATTAGAAATTAAGCATATACTTGACAGCAGGATGTCTAAATGGTGTTTAATGCATTAACAGTGCAGTTGCATATATGCAACACTAGTATTTCAATGGTTAAAATAACTTTATTATACTAATTTTTTAGGATTAATTAATCCAATGATGAATCCTATGATGCCTGGCACTATGGCTCCCATGGGAATGGGTCACCCTTCTATGATGATGATGAATAGAATGCCATCACCATTTGGACCTCCACGTGAGTTACTTTATAACAAAAGTGTTTATTAAAACAATTAAATAACTTTATATCGGTTTAGCAAATATGTCTATAATGGGAAATCCTCAACAAATGGCAATGTCTAATGATGCACAAAAACCACTTGGTGTACCTCCAGATATGATGATGTCTTTTCCTTTTGGTATGAATCTGCCATCTCAAAGTAAATAATTGAATGCATTTATTATATTTGTTAAAATTCTTGGAAATAATTGAGTACATTCAAATTATATATTATTTTAAAAATATCAAAACTATAATATAGTACCTATAATGATTAAACATTTTTAAATATATTTTTGACATGTATATTTATTTATTTCAGCTGCAGCTATTTCTTCTGCTCAGACAATGATGGGGTTAAATCCACCTACTGTAACGTCTGGAACTAGTACTGCTCCCACACTTTCTCAAAATACAAGTCATAAAGATAACCTAAACACAACAAATCCTCCAAATCAATTAGACCCTTCTACGCTTATGCAATTTAATTTACCTCCTCCTCCAACACTTCCAAATTTATCTGATTTTGCACGAATTACAAGTAACACTAATATAAGCAATGAAAAATATGATCCTAATATTTTAGGCAACTCTGAGACAGAAGATTCTAAAGACTCTGTTAGAAACATTGAACGAGATGATAGAATTCATGGAATAGATCACAGGAATCGTAATTATGATAATAGGGAAAGAATTGATAAATTTTCAGATAGAGATATCAAAAACGATCGTGGGCGAAGAGATGATTTATCTCAAAGACAAGATCCAAGAAATCGTATTAAAGGACCTGAACAAAGAGAGAGGAAATCATCACGCTGGGGTGATAAAGTTAATGAAGAAGTGGACAATCCAAATAATATTGATCGATTGTCCATAAAAGAAGGATTGGGTATAGCTCAAGTTCCAAACATAGCACAAATAGATAATGTAAAAGATATTTTGATGCAAAATAATTCTTTGCATCAAATTCTTGATCATGTAATTCAAGACAATATGGGTAATCCTCCATTCCAACCTGGCATATTTGGGCCTAACAATGGACCACTTCCAAATCAAATGTTCAATATGCCCCCTCAAAATTTTCCACAAGGTAAATAAATAAATAATTTAAGCAATTATATAAATATTTTAGAGTATATTTTATTTGTTTAAATTAATTTTAGATGGTCCTAGACCGCCTGTTATGGAGAATAGCAACATGAGAGGGCGGGGTGGATGGAACCGCGGAGGCCGTGGAGGATTTAGAGGACGTGGAGGATACAACCCACCAAATTGGGATAATAACAATGGTCCACCCAATTGGGATACAAACAGTGGACCTAATTGGGATAATAATGGACCACCGCCTGTTTGGCAGAATCAAAGTATGAATAGAGGAGGTATGATGGGAAGAAGTAATTTAAGACCACCATTAATGCAAAATGTGATGGGCCGTGGCCGAGGTAATAAATACTGAAATAAATATCACATAATTTATTTAATATGTTTAATTTATATTTTAGATAATTGGATGGGCAATAATTTATCTGCTAATAGAAGCAATCGTGATTCAGATAAATGGGTAAGTCGGGGAGGTAGTCGTGATTCTGATGGATGGAGTGGTCGTAGTAGACTTTCTCCTTGGAGAGGTAATGGTAACCGGCGACGAAATGAAGACTGGGAAGGACCTAATCAACAAAAACGCTGGAGACGTGATGATAATCCTGAATGGGATGAACAACAGAAACCTTGGAAACGTGGAACAATGAATGAAGAAGAAGAAAGACAAAATATCAAACAAGGGTCATCATGGGCTGCTAGTAAATTAAAAAACCGTGACAATAATGATGAACGTTCTAAAAAACCGAGCAAATGGGGTGATAAAGAGTCTGATGATAATACTAAAGGAGATCGTTGGAACAAAAAATCTGTGGAACACACTTCATCTGTTGATGAAGTTACCGCAGAAGAAGGTCCACATCAAACAAGCGGTCCAATGGATTTAGACAACTATGAAGGTGAAGGTGTTGATAATATTGAGCAACTGCATAAAGTCCAAGATCAAGAAACTGTAAGCTCAAACATGACGTTTAGACAGCATGACGAAATTGAAAACAAGGAAGATCAAAAGGATAGTCAGGAACATCATGAATTTGGTGTTCATAATGCCGATTCAAATAATGAAGACAAGAATGTTGAACAAAACAATGAAGAGCAACTTAACAGAGATCGACAATTTGGAGATTATCAAAATGATTTAACTAATAACTCACAAGAATTATTCCATGATAATATTAAAGAAACACAGCAGATTTCACAAAAAACACCAGTTGACAACTTTGAACAGCAAAATTTTGAAGAAAAACAGCATGATGAGTATCAACCTCACGAAGAATATCAAAAAGATACCACGGACAATTTTAATTCTCAACGAGAAAATGAAATAAGACAAAACAATGAAGATTTTGAACAAAATGTACAATTTAAATCTGATTATAATGATACGAAATATGAAAATGATCAACCTAATAATCATCAATCTTTTAATGAAGAATCTTCTCACAATTTAAATAATGATGAGCATTATTCAGATAATGCTATTGAGTCTCAAGTAAACGAAGCTAATCAAGTTATGAATATAGAAGAAAAATCTTGTGAACCTCGTGATGACTTCTATTATGGGGCAGATTGTGAGTCATCTTTTAACATGGAACAACAGAATAATGAGATTCTTCCAATTGAAGAAACAGTAAATGTTCCAACAGATAATGAAATTAATGATATCAATACGGCAGAATTAAATCAAAGTTAAAGAACTTTATACCTTTTTAACAATTTATTATATATATATATATTCCAAATGTATAAATTTACTATTGTATATTCCATTTAAATTATGAATGGTCTATGTTGAATGATAATAAAATTAATTGTTATCATTTTTCATTAACCATTTTTAACCTAATAATTTACTTTATTATTCTATGAAACATTTTTACTCATCATTGTATAATGATATAATTAATTGGTATAATATTGTAAAAAATGTTAAGTATAAATACAAAGTTGTAAAGTGACAACAACACAAATATTATTTTAAATGAATCATTTTATAGTACTTAAATTCAATTAATTTTTTTAAAAAAAATGCAGTTAGAATTTATTTATAGATTTGTTTTATTTACACCAATTTTAGGTTTAAAAAACTGTTTAGTACAAGTCATTAATTACAATAAAAAATATAAATAATTGTTATTTAAAAAAAAAAAAAAAATATTTTTTATTTCGTTGAATTATTTACTTCAATATTATTTGAGATTGTACATATTAACCTATTAATTCCCAACATTATTTTATTATTTAAATGTTTAAAATGATATTTTCTATGTAATTATAGTACTGCGAGCAATATATATTGAACGAATATTTCTTATTATTATTTAATTATCACTATTGCAATAGCAATAATGCAACAAAATTTAAATATTGACATGTATAAATAATTATCATTAATATAGCTTATTTCTAGAAAATAAAAAATTAACTGTTAATAAATCATATATAACTTGTATTAAAAATTTTACTTAAAGTGGGAGTTTTCTGTTATTTATATACATACACGCACACTCGCACGTGTATAATATATTTATTATTATTATACTAATAATTTTATTTTATATTATCATAACAGTAAAAATATATGTGTATATATTATTTACTTAAATGAAATGGGTATTCATTATTTACTCTACTGCTGATTGTACTACTGGTTTATTCTATTTTACAACTAGGTTCAAGATAAAATAATTAATTTGATGGATAATAGGACGTGTAATATAAAATAATCTATATTAGTGAAACAATGATTATTGATTAATGTCGATTGAAGTGAGTACTTGGAAATACATTAATTGTTATTCAACACTAAAATATTATCTGTTACCTCGTGTTAAATGTTAAACATTAGCCGTTAGGTATAAGGTGTATGAATATTGAATGTTTTAACATTTTTAAAGTGAAAATGATATACTGAATTTAATGCGTTTAGTAGGGTGATTGAAAAAGTTGAATGAGAAATATTCCACATAAAAAACAATGATTTTCCAAATCCAAAATGTACGTATGTTTACAAAATTAAAAAAAAAATTAAATCCCGTGTAACACAATATCATAATAATTTTAAAATTACGTCCTCACACTAACTTTTTTTTTTTTTTAACGATTATTACGAGTTATAAAAGAATACGGTTTGATTAAATGAAAATATTTATTGATATCTATTGATTTATTTAATATATAATAAGAAAGTTTGAAAATATTAAGGTTTTTGAAAATCACTGTTTTTTTTTTTAATGTGTTACTCGAAAAAAATCGTTTTGAACAGGATATTTTCACTTAAACTTTTTTAGTATCACTGCTGAAGGTACTTTGGACATACAAATAGATACATAGATACTACTGTAACGATTAACAATACCTACGACTTACGTCTATTAAAGATAGTTGATCTGTAGGTAATTTGAACATTTCATTTATGGCAATTCGCATAAATCGAACGCCAGTCGGCAGTAACTTAATAATAATCATAATACCTATGTATTAAATAATAATGCTCATCAGTGATCATCGAGTAAATTATTTGTTTTAATTTATTAATTTAGTACCAACCTATAACCTATACGGCTATACAGGTAGGTACATACCAATTGTAGCTTGTTAGCTAGGTACCTTATAAATAGGTAGGTATTTTTTACATATTTTATTTTTTATATATATTTTTTATATGTTAGTATATTGAACTAGCTTAATCACCGGAAAAGTTCACCGAAACTTTAAACTTTTAATTATCTAAAATGTATACCTCAGGGGCGGATTCAGAAATTGTTCATGATGGGAGAGGGTGCATAAAAAGCAAAAAAAAAGAAGAAAAAAAAGGCCATCAGATGAAAAAAGCTTGGCCCAATAATATCTAATTTTTTATTTAATTTGGGAGAGCGTGCGTCACCTTGAATCCATCACTGGTATGCTTCTATGATAAAATGAACCGTGCCAAACTGCCAAATATTTATGGGTGATCACTGATTAGTTGATGACTAAAAACTTACATGTGCGGGGATTGCAGAGTTTCTGTATTTACTGTTCACCTTCCATATTTACTATATTTTAAAGTTAATAATTTGAAAAAAAATCACCCTTTGGTTTTACATAGATACTACTCCCCAGCACCCCAAGCGTGGTCGTCCTCATATGATGTCCTATCTCAACACCAATAATATATTAATTAAAAAAAAAAAATAATAATAATAATACTACACTTATATAAATTTTTCATTCTTTTTATTGTACCATTATATACATATATATATCGATGTAATTTCATGTAACTTGTTGTAAATAATTGTAATTAATTTATGGTTATCAATTGTTTAAATGTTAAATGTTGTTATTATTTCATTAATAAGTTTGATGGCGCTGTATGTTAGGAACACTTTATAATAAATAAAAAAAAAAATACACAAGATATCGTTTTGAAGTGGGTTTACAGAGACAAATTCAAAATATTTGCATTGTTCACTGGCGCTAATTGTCTATAAATCTCAGGTAGCTCCGACTTTATAAGTATTAAAAAAAATTGATTTATAAAATAATAACATAATCGTTGGAGTTGTATAACGTGAACGTCATGAAAATAGGTACTAAACGATTCAGTGCATTTGGAGTTTATACATTAAAAACTTCTGTCATTAAAAGGGGTATAGTCGAATTGCACTTGGGTTTAAAAAAGGTAATGGTCGAATTGCGCTCGGATAAAAAGCAGGTAGTAGTCGAATTGCACTTGGGCTCAAAAATAGTATTTCAACCAAATTATCATACATTTGAAGGAGTTAAACATTTAGTAAACACTCATTTTCCTTCTCACTTACAGGCTTAGGACTGACAATGATTTTAATCATTGGCATGGTTAAAAATGATTGTTTTATACATCACATTATGTTAATTATATATTTATACATTATAATTCTTATATTATATTATTATACATTATATTATATTACATTATACATATTATTATTATACATTTTTTTTAATTTATTTATTTTTAAATCGTCAAATTTAATTGTTGTCAATATTATAATTTTTTTTTATATCATTTTTTATAGTAATAACAAACTGCATTCAAAAATTCTAGCCTGGTAATATGCTTTTGTGTATATAAGTCAGTGGATATTTTAACTAATATACTGGGCGACAAAAATGTCGCCTAGAGAAAACTTTTTGTCACCTAGAGAAAACTTTTTGTCGCCTAATAGACCATATATTTAATTACTGGGCGACAACGATTATTTGTAAAAATGACAATGTTTAAAATTATTATACAATTATTTCTTATGTTTAAATTAATTGTTATTTATTTATATCTATATTACATCGTTCAATCATTTGAATTTGGGAGTACAAATAATTATTGAAATTTTCTACAATGGAAAACCCGTGTGACCGATCTCCTTGGGTACTCATAAAATAATAGAGTACCTACGCAATAAGCAATTTGTTCTATGCGACAATATGACATGTTTCATCTGGTCATCAGCAATTCCAATAATTAATATCTACAAATTATTTTCGATTTGATTTTAGTCCTGGTTTCTACAAGCTAATTCTTATATTTACTTTAATATGTCGTTTTTTATACTTTTATAACAAAATGTATTGGTACTGTATGTTATTGATTCCTTTTTTTAACTAAAAAGAGTAAGTTTAACACATAAATTATTTGTACTCATTTATGTATTGTAAGTTTTGATGGTATTGTTAGATATAAGTAAGGTTTTGTATATTTAATTCTAAAAAGTATTTTTTAGGCGCATATATTGATTTTGATTATGACGTGTGTAATTTTTTTTTTTAATGTCGCCCAGTAATAATAGCTAAAAATATCCACTAATATAAGTCAATATATTTTTCAATATAATTTATTTTTTTCTGATACCGTGTTGTTGATGGTCTTGTGTCAGTGTTCTGCATTAAAATATAAGTATCGATTTGTAATTGTTGATTTTTGGTGACAATCATTATCTGCGTTATCTTAATGACATTCACGAACTACTATACATAAAGCTATTAAATAGGCACGCCCGCCGTAGCATTCGTAAACATAAGATTAATTCCAATATTTTTAACGGGTTTTCAGTGTTTTCACTATACACGTTCGACTCGTAACAAGTTTCCACAGTTTTTCCATTTTAACTCTATTTTTGAACGAGCGCAGTTCGATTACTACCTGATTTTTACCCGAGTGCAGTTCGACTATTACTTTTTTTCAACCCAAGTGCAATTCGACCATTTCTTTGTAGGTAATAAGTGCAATTCGACTATCCCGATTAAAAGGTGTTAGGAAAATCAATTCCTATAACCGTTATTTGATTGATTACAAAGTTATGATTTTTTTTTGTTCAAGATAATTAATTGTAATTTGTAATCGCCATGGTCTCGATGACCGTTGCAAACGGTGGGTACTTTCAAGGAGTGATGATTCTCCGCACGCGAGGGAAGCATATAACAAAAGCCACAAGAACTTTAAAGTGTCCAACGAACTGCATGCGTGTCCACCAACGTACTTAAATACTTGTTTCAAACTACCGCTGCCGCCGTCGTTACAACAACGACGACATCGATATGGAAACTGAAAACCCGTGTGCGGCACTACTGCTGTACGACGTACCGTCTGACGAACAGTTCACCGCCGTACCGGTACCGGCATTCGATGTCAATTCGAATCCGGGAACGGTTGGCGTTTCCGTTCGCCGTCGGTAAGCGGCTGTTCGCCGTGGACAGGCCGTGAACGGCGGTGGACGACCGCCGTCTGCTGTTGTTCGGTATTGTCGGCTGGCCGCTGG